CTAACTCTACCCCTTTATATTATTGTACACGCCTGATGATGAATTAATCGAATCGTTCGTTCGCCTATCTTGACTTCTTGGATGCGGTTTCTATTTAATAGATAAGGCAAACTATATCAATTACTTGGCTCGCTAGTTGATCTCTTTTAATGAATTCGAAAGAATCAAAGGCCAAATGTAGACAACCCAGATTATTTTTTTACCCAGGACAATACGCCCACTTTGCGCGGTCTTCCCCTTAAACTACGCCCCGGCAAAGCAAGAATCTGCTCCAGTAACAGAGTGGTTGCAGGGTGGAACGCCCTTCCCGAAGAGGTTGTCCTCTCCACCTGTGTTAATTAATTTAAGAGCAAACTGGGCATGCACCAAACACATCATTACACAGCCATCTGCTAACCAAGGGACGTACATACATAGACATTACCTCATATTATTCGTAATAAGCAAGTAGTCATGTTTTATTACTATTTCGACTAACCAGCACCTGCTGTGTTTTCATCCGTAGGCATGTAGTTGAGGTACTTTTTTTTCAATTTTTCTTTGTATCCATATATTTCCTACCACCTTGTTACCAATAGAGAATTCAAAGTTGTTCGCCTATCTTTCCCTCAATAAACTAATACTGATACTGAAGTAGATCTAGCTTGCCACTGTCGAAGAAAACACGGAAACTAAAATAGAATCCAGTAACGAAGGTATAGTTCGACGATCACTAAAGCGCGGTGAGAGCCTGCAGAATGTAAGCTGGGCAGTTGCTCTAAGCAAAGCCAGAGCACAGACTAGGGGGAGGAAAGAAACAATAACTAGAACGCCGAAAAATGGAATCACGTGACTACTTGTTAATGCATCTAAATATTGCGAGTTTTAAATTAATTAAACCTATCACTTTGAGCAGACAAAATGTCTACGACTTTCCCTTCAAGTCTGTACGAATTCAGGCATAAATGCATGGGGCAGATAACCTAAACGTAGACAAACTGGCCCTGACGAGGAGGGTGTACATTAGATTTCCCGTCATAGACTACAAGGACTCCCAGGAACAGTGAGTTTGGAGGTCTGGCTGAACTCACTCATAATGCAGGAAAATTATTCAGAATTAATTCCTTCCTTCTCATAGGCTTGCCCGTGTGGGAATTATGTGCTGCTTGTTTTTATGGTTCATGTCCTATCGGTGGAAAATTTTGCAAGGGGAGACAGCCAATAGATACATCTTCACATTCACCTTAATTTACTTGCACATCTACGACCTTAGTCTTTGTGTCCCTACCTGAACTGTGATCACATCCGTTGTGATCGTAATGCTCCGGGTGCAACGAAAGGGTTATTCACATTTGCGGATTGAAAGTCACCACAAATGCCTATTCACATTAGATAGTCATTAAACTCTGAGCGCTGCCTGCTAACCAACTCTCATCAGCAGCTCAACAAAGCTATGAGAGCCGCGAGCACACCCAATGACTGGCAAGCAAACTCGAAAGATGGCTCTGCAGAGTGTCTGCCAATCCGGTGATGTTCTGTGCGTATAATCCGGTTTCGTCCTGGGCGGAGAGCAGCTGTGGTGCGACTTTGTGAAGTGGCTTGCTGGCTGGTCAGTTGGTGCGCCAAAACTCCCATTTAATCGTCTTGACTTTGCTCTGTCAGCGAAATCCGATAGTTAGGGGAGGAGAGGACAAAACTGATGCCATGCAAGCCCAACTGCCTTTGAAGTAATTCGTGCGTAAACTACTCTTGCATTCACCTTTAACTCCAAATCATCACACCCCGCCCTACAAACTTATGGAAAATGATCACCGTCAATTAGGACCCAGACGAACAGCCACATATCCGAAGGTTAACCAAAATGTAAAAGTCAATAAGTTACCCCATAAAGAATCGATCGTATTTGTGGTAATATGTCAGGCCCTCGAGTCCACGGCGGATGATTAGGCGATAAGTTGAAATCTAAAAAAAATAATACACAACGGTCATCTAGAAAAGTAAAATCTTACGGCAGAAGCATAGTCCCCGTCGGATGTCTGTTGGGCGGCAGTGCTCATTAACTGTGATAAGTCCGCCTGTGTAAGAGAGCTGAATGCAAGAGATTAACGGTGACCTTATCACCCACCTAAATTCTTGAAAGAATGCTCTGTAATGCGAAGCCTTCTGTTCAGTGTACTTAGCCTATGGCCACGCGTGACGCATGAACGAAGAAAAAGGACACTCACCTGGAACTGGGCGATTATCTGCAAAGTGTTAGAACGAATAAGCTCCGTTTTAAGTTGCTGTCCAATCTCTAGGAAATCTAGAGGAACTTCTCCCTATGAATAGAAAACCAGATGTGTGTGCTGAGGTTTCAAGTTAAAAGTAAATACGTTAGAAGAAATGACAAAGAAGGCTACGCTGGCCGTATTTGTCAGTCAACAGCAGCATTTAATCTTTTCTGAAAAAAATTTAAGAATGAAGGCTAAGGATGGGTCAAAGCGCGATAAAAACTGGTGCAGGCCTGCGGTTTGCCGTCAGGGACAGGCAATTCTGGGCATCCGGCACAGTTCACCTCTACCGCCCATACTACCAACGGTTTACTTGGCCTGAGTTCACTTCAGGCTACGCGGTTGACACCAATTTTAGTACAGCTTTACAGCAACCACCTTGTCTTTCATTACAGAAACTGGCAAAATGGCTTCACAAGTTGACACTGCCTTGCTCCTGAAAAGTGTGTTTGTGGGGAGAGAGAGGGGGGGTGATGCTACGAAAGTCGTTCTCGCTAGTAACAAAGTAAAGTGCGATCCAAGCCCAGTCACCTCATGGATCAGAATGGACGTACAGGCCGGTCATTTTTATTTCAAGTGTCATTATTTGAGCAGAAAACTCGGCCGCTGACAGTGTAAGATGGGCAAATATTTGCCATCCTAGACAAATGATAGGAAAGCAACACACAGAAATTGGCTGACCTCATAGTACTGGAAGCGTACCGGAAAGCATTTGAAGAGCAGTCACGGAGATAAGGCTTTTACAATGTTGCTTTCAAATGCTATGTATATTCCTGCAAAGCATCTGCCATACGCAGTTCTGTTTACGGAAGCCGAATTAGATCTGGTAAACAAAGCTACAGGGGATGTCTAGCCGATTCAACCTAGCCTTTAAGTATACATAAAGTATACAAATAAATCGCAATAACCCATCGTAAAAGAAAAACCGTTTGATTCGAAAGTTGGTCAATCAGAGCATTCAGCTAGGTTCACCAGTAGTTGTATAACCCTCTCATTTGCAGCCCCGTCAATTATCAACCCCTGGCTACTTACCTACGTATTTTCCCAATCCTCGCTCGAATTGACTTAGCATTCTGACAACTGGGAAAATTAGAGTTAATTATCAAAGACGGTCATATTAAGTATATTGATGAGACTCTTGTCAAGTACAAATCTTGACGAATTAAGATGCGGCCAGGTGCAGCTACTTGGTGGACAATTATAAGCATGACACGATAAGCTGTTGACTGCACATTCCGAAAGGACATATTTCCATAGGGACGGGTCATTGTGGCATAATAAGCCACGGACATGCGTGTCTCCCCTTAACTATCTTCTCACAAAGTGCCTTTTCAACGCATCAATTAAAATAGGCAGGCAGCGCCAATATGGCCGGTTCCCTGCTTAAACATTTAAGAACTGACGCAAATGTTCGCATTCCAGGAGCGTGTATATTTTGAGAAGAGGAAGCTTTATCAAACACCGGAATCATGATTTTATTAGTCTGAGCCACAACTAGCCACCCCATTTGTTGCTGTTTTCCCATCTCTGAAGATGGACTCCTGCAGGAGCCCGAAAGCCCAGACCAATAAAATCATAATTTCGGTGTTCGATAAAGCTTCTTCTTCTCAAAACCTTTGAGACCGCCAGCTTTCCTTTCCTAGCAGGTCCCTACTACAAACACTTTCGTATTAAAGATGTGGCTTGAACCACAGTTTACGGGAGGGGGGGTGGTACACGTACTTGTGCCACGGTAGCATCCAGTTTCGGGGGCACCTAGACCCTGCAGCACTCATAATAAACTGATAAATGATAAGTCAGTTATTGCGTTTTAAGCCTGCCAACGAGTTTCCTGTCTTTCGTATCTAATTGTCTTGCATGTCCCCTGACTGTTTACTATGGCGCCACAGTTGAGGAAAGATGGTATAAGAAAGAATACGTATACATGATTATATGCCAGAGGTCCAGATTATGGATAACCTGTACCTAAGAGAACAAATGATTTTCAAAGGTGTGCAGTTTCTTTGAATAAAAAAAGCATTTCACGGACACCTTCAGAAAACAGGGTGAACAGCGGAGAACTTACTACAGAGTTAGCTGGAATGGGAATACCCAACAAGGCGGCGATGAGTGGACATATGTCCGCTTGACGGATGATGTGGATCTTGCGGTTATAATGATATTTTAGCAATTCTGTTTCGCCGACTCCAACTGACTGGTTTTCAAGAATCTTCGGTGGAGAAATGCCGCTACCCCAAAGAATCAGTGGCGTGATGGTTTCTTGTGGAGATCCGGCTCCATGACTGCCTGAAGAAAAAATATTTTTTGGAAAAAAAGCTGGATAAAAAGGAAGTTTGTCACATGGCCAACTTAGTTAAACACTGACTAAACCTGAAACCGGTCTAAAGCCTTTGTGGAAGAAAAGTACTGAACATCGTCACAGGGAAACTGCCGCGAAGAATTCGAAGGCAATATGGAAATATCTTACCCCAATCAGTCATTCCGTGATCCGCAGTCAAAATAAAGGCAGTTTCAAGGAGAATATCCTCTCCAAAGGGGAGATCTGAAAACAGCTTCATGATGCGACCAATGTTGGAATCAAGGTTGCGAATCATTTTTACGTACTCCGGTGAATTCGGTTTAGCAGTGTGTCCGAGTTGATCGGCGGCACTGAGGTGCAGGAAGATAAAGTTTCCTCTTCGAAAGTCTTCCCGCACACCTTCTTCAGTAAGTAGCAAGTGTGAATTGTTCACCATAAAGGCCTTCATAAGAAAATGTAACAGTGAAATCAAATACATTTCAGAGAAGCAGGACAAGCAGCTTCAAAAAACGGACACTCAGTTAATTGTATCCGATAAAATCCAATTATCTAGGCGAGTAAACTGAAAGTAAAATTGGTCGCGAAGTCACTTTACTTGACAGGGTCAACAGATATAAACCATTTACAATAAGCACATGTGAGTTGAGCAAACGGATGCGCATTGCTAAGCTAAATAAACATTTTATGGAAAAAGCTTTTAAAAAACACTAAAATCCAAGTAAATAAACAAGCAAAGCTTGAATTAAAACGGAATGAGTGAAAGGTCCAGTTACAGAGAACTTATCCACGACCCAGTCGTCAATTTGGGTGATGTTTTCGGCCGTAAAGTCAAGCATGTCACGTGGATAAGAGTGGATAAAGACGCGATCGTCTCCAATGCGATCTGGCGGCTGGAGCATGGGGACGACGTCGGGACCGCCCCAAATCCAGGCTCTGTTGGACCGATTAACGACCGAGTCAAACTCCACCGCATTGACTTGCCACCCTACCAAAAGGAAGAAAACAATCAAAGTTGGGAAGTAGCTTAACGGGCTAAAATATTCATAGATATCCATATTATGTTACTTTTCATATGCCTTAGTCTATTCACTTAGGGAATATAGTCCATAAAATACGGGGTGTCTTTTTTTACAGGGAGGAGAGAAGAATGCACCATGAAGACGAATGTACCCCAGTGAGGAAGTGGGGGTCAGAGCGTGACGACTAACCTTCAGTCAAAGTGCGAAAACGTTGCTTCTGGCAAATAGCCGGGCCTAATAAGGATACTGAGAAGAAGAGTAACCTACGACTATCGATTGTGTAAGTATGACACAGCATGGTCATTTCTAGATGCAATACCTTTAAGGTGTTAGAAAAGATGATGATAATTTAGATGATGAGACCAAGCAGAGCCTCATTAGATTGGCTCTCATATCGAAAGCGCTTGCCACAGTAGATGCGTACGCGCTAATAATAAACAAATTTCCTTCGCTGGGTAATCTCTCCTGGAGCATAAACTGATCAGTGATGTGATGCAGGTGGGTAAGCAAACGACTCCCAATGTCTCCTCGTTCTTATCCTGAACGTAGGCTTCGGAAGAAAGTATATTCGCATCCACTTTGGTCCTGCTTGTTCGAAGGAGCGGATGACCGCGACTCGCGGTGTAATAATTTGAATCGTGCACGACCAGAGCTATTCTCCTCTCTGTTGGATTGGTCATTTAATGGTTTAGAAGAGGGCAGACACCTCCAAATGCCCGACTGACTATGCTCAATTCAGGAGTTGGGAACCAGAACTTATTAAGGACTTTTTTGGAAAGCAGTATGTCCCTGAAAAGGGTTACCAAACTCGACTATGGCGCGGAGTCAGTTTGGTGAGCAAAAGGTCTGAACTCGTTTAGGCCGCCAGAGAGTTCATGTTACCTTCGCCGTATGATGTTTTAAGATGACGTGGAACAACTGAAAATAGAAAAGCATTTACCGGGTGCGTAGAGCCATGCAAATCGGATATAAAAATCTGGTGCACCCAACTGGTCAAGGGCAGTTGTCGCAATGTGCCAAGTGCGCAGAGCATGCCACCTGTTGAGTTACTGACGAGAGCTATGTGACAGGTGCGATGCCAAAGCATTCATCAAGTGCTCATACCTTTTGGTTAGAAAAAAATCAGACTCTATGGGAGAACCCACCAAATGGAGTAATGTGTAATCATACAACTGCCAGGTGAGTTCCTAGCTAATGACGGCCCGAAATATCCATTAAACTACAACCCGAAAGTTATGACCTAAAGGAACATAATCAGCGCATGCAGGCGTATTATAGGAAAGCAGTGAGGTGCTGTCTAAATGAAACGCGTTTTGCAGCCAATTTAAATCGATGAATGTCCAGGAATCTAAATTTCAGGAGGGTAGCAGATATTTTTAAACAACATTTGGAATAAGAATCGTATAAATCTCCGGTGTAAGTATCTGGTGCAGTGATAAGTACAAAAGATATACCATCAGGACAGAAATCCTTCTGCTGAGTTGTCAGGGATATGAGTAAAGTAGCCATTCGGATAAATGGAAAATTGCTAGATGGTGGACGCCAGTTCGCTGGTAGAAGCAGTCTGCGTGATGGGGAAGTACATTTCAATTCAAATCGCGCAAAAGCAGAAGTAGGTGAGTCGAAATAATACGGCTGGCATTTTCCAAGTCACAACTTAAAGAAACTGATCCAAAAGCCGTACAGGGGGGCTCAGAAAGCGAAGGTGTCACAGCAACAAGGAAGATGCCAAATAGAACTAATAGATTTTTGCTCTGTATTAATCCTAACAGACTAGTGTTACTTAGAAGAAATTTCGCAAACATAAATGCTTGTAAGAAGTGTTCAATTCTGTCACCGGTGCTAGATGACAAACTGGACACAGAAGACCTCAAGAACAGACTTTCTGACAGAGGTAGTCTTTTCCATTACGCAATGAAACAGCTAACTGCCCTGAGACAAACCCATCATAATATAGAGAAAATAAGTGGGGTGATTAATGTACGAAGTTACTGGAAAGGACTGAGAACCTAACGTTTCTGCAAACTATTTCTGGCTGACCTCAATAACCAGACTATACAGAAGAAGATATATTAGATAGCGCATATTATTATTTCATTTTACTGCATTCATGCATAATTCAATGGTTAGTATGGGAACGTTTACCAATAATTCTATTTTTTTTAATTATGGCCGTAAGTATCGCATTATTATTAATGGATAAAAATCCTCCATTTCAAACACGTAAATGTCGTACCCTTTGTTACTGAT